TATTCATGGTTCATTTCGTGGTGTTAACAACAGTTCATTGACATATGACAATCATAAGGTTTTTGTGTAACAGTTCATTGACATACGACAACCATAAGGTTTTTGTGTAACAGTTCATTGACATATGACAATCATAAGGTTTTTGTGTAACTGTTCATTGACATACGACAACCATAAGGTTTTTGTGTAACAGTTCATTGACATACGACAATCATAAGGTTTTTGTGTAACAGTTCATTGACATACGACAATCATATAAGGCTTTTGTGTAACTGTTCATTGACATACGACAATCATAAGGTTTTTGTGTAACGGTCCATTAACATACGACAATCATAAGGCTTTTGTGTAACAGTTCATTGACATACGACAATCATAAGGTTTTTGTCTAACAGTTTATTGACATACGACAATCATAAGGCTTTTGTGTAACAGTTTATTGACATACGACAATCATAAGGTTTTTGGATAACTGTTCATCGACAGACGACAATCATAAGGTTTTTGTGTAACAGTACATTGACATACGACAATCATAAGGTTTTTTTGTAACGGTCCATTGACATACGACAATCATAAGGTTTTTGAGTAACTGTTTATTGACATACGACAATCATAAGGGTTTTGTGTAACAGTTTATTGACATACGACAATCATAAGGCTTTTGTGTAACAGTTCATTGACATACGACAACCATAAGGTTTTTGTGTAGCAGTTTATTGACATACGACAATCATAAGGATTTTGTGTAACTGTTCATTGAAATACGACAATCATAAGGTTTTTGTGTAACTGTTCGTTGACATACGACAATCTTAAGGTTTTTTGTAACAGTTTATTGACATACGACAATCATAAGGTTTCTGTGTAACAGTTCATTGACATACGACAATCGTAAGGTTTTTGTGTAACAGTTCATTGACATGCGACAATCATAAGGTTTTTGTGTAACAGTACATTGACATACGACAATCATAAGGTTTTTGAGTAACTGTTTATTGACATACGACAATCATAAGGTTTTTTTGTAACTGTTCATTGACATACCACAATCATAAGGCTTTTGTGTAACGGTCCATTGACATACGACAATCATAAGGTTTTTTTGTAACTGTTCATTGACATACCACAATCATAAGGCTTTTGTGTAACGGTCCATTGACATACGACAATCATAAGGTTGTTGTGTAACGGTCCATTGACATACGACAATCATAAGGTTTTGGTGTAACAGTTTATTGACATACGACAATCATAAGGATTTTGTGTAACTGTTCATTGAAATACGACAATCATAAGGTTTTTGTGTAACGGTCCATTAACATAAGACAATCATAAGGCTTTTGTGTAACAGTTCATTGACATACGAAAATCATAAGGTTTTTGTGTAACAGTTTATTGACATACGACAATCATAAGGATTTTGTGTAACTGTTCATTGAAATACGACAATCATAAGGTTTTTGTGTAACTGTTTATTGACATACGACAATCATAAGGTTTTTTTGTAACTGTTCATTGACATACCACAATCATAAGGCTTTTGTGTAACGGTCCATTGACATACGACAATCATAAGGTTTTGGTGTAACAGTTTATTGACATACGACAACCATAAGGTTTTTGTGTAACAGTTCATTGACATGCGACAATCATAAGGCTTTTGTGTAACAGTTTATTGACATACGACAACCATAAGGTTTTTGTGTAGCAGTTTATTGACATACGACAATCATAAGGTTTTTGTCTAACAGTTTATTGACATACGACAATCATAAGGATTTTGTGTAACTGTTCATTGAAATACGACAATCATAAGGTTTTTGTGTAACAGCTCATTGACATACGACAATCATAAGGTTTTAGTGTAACAGTTCATTGACATACGACAATCATCAGGTTTTTGTGTAACAGTTCATTGACATAAGACAATCATAAGGTTTTTGTGTAACAGTTTATTGAGATACGACAATCATAAGGTTTTTGTGTAACGGTTCATTGACATACGACAATCATAAGGTTTTAGTGTAACAGTTCATTGACATACGACAATCGTAAGGTTTTTGTGTAACAGTTCATTGACATGCGACAATCATAAGGTTTTTGTGTAACAGTACATTGACATACGACAATCATAAGGTTTTTGTCTAACAGTTTATTGACATACGACAATCATAAGGTTTTTTTGTAACTGTTCATTGACATACCACAATCATAAGGCTTTTGTGTAACGGTCCATTGACATACGACAATCATAAGGTTGTTGTGTAACGGTCCATTGACATACGACAATCATAAGGTTTTGGTGTAACAGTTTATTGACATACGACAACCATAAGGTTTTTGTGTAGCAGTTTATTGACATACGACAATCATAAGGATTTTGTGTAACTGTTCATTGAAATACGACAATCATAAGGTTTTTGTGTAACTGTTCGTTGACATACGACAATCATAAGGTTTTTGTGTAACTGCTCATTGACATACGACAATCATAAGGTTTTTTTGTAACGGTCCATTGACATACGACAATCATAAGGTTTTTTTGTAACAGTTTATTTACATACGACAATCATAAGGTTTTTGTGTATCAGTTTATTGACATACGACAATCATAAGGTTTCTGTGTAACAGTTCATTGACATACGACAATCATCAGGTTTTTGTGTAACAGTTCATTGACATAAGACAATCATAAGGTTTTTGTGTAACTGTTTATTGACATACGACAATCATAAGGCTTTTGTGTAACAGTGCATTGACATACGACAATCATAAGGTTTTTTTGTAACGGTCCATTGACATACGACAATCATAAGGTTGTTGTGTAACGGTCCATTGACATACGACAATCATAAGGTTTTGGTGTAACAGTTTATTGACATACGACAACCATAAGGTTTTTGTGTAGCAGTTTATTGACATACGACAATCATAAGGATTTTGTGTAACAGTTCATTGACATACGACAGTCATAAGGTTTTTGTGTAACAGTTCATTGGCATACGACAATCATAAGGTTTTTGTGTAACGGTTCATTGACATACGACAATCATAAGGTTTGTGTGTAACAGTTCATTGACATACGACAATCGTAAGGTTTTTGTGTAACAGTTCATTGACATACGCCACCCATAAGGTTTTTGTGTAACAGTTCATTGACGTACGACAATCATAAGGTTTTTGTGTAACTGCTCATTGACATACGACAATCATAAGGTTTTTGTGTAACAGTTTATTGACATACGACAACCATAAGGTTTTTGTGTAACTGTCCATTGACATACGACAATCATAATGTTTTTGTGTAACAGTTCATTGACATACGACAATTATAACGTTTTTGTGTAACAGTTCGTTGCATCATTGACACATGACATTCATCAGATTGCTGTGAACCATCCATAACATTGCCAATGTCAAAACAGCTCTTCATACAATTTATTGTCACTAGCTATCCTCAATTATTTTACACAAGTATAACAGCTAGTTCATCATCACTTCAGCTTTTTGAATTTTGGTCATGATGATTTGAATTTTTTTATTTATTTATTTATTTATTCTTAGGAATGACAATTCTTCCATTCAACAGTCACAAAAAGACAATTTTTTCTCATTAATAAGGATTTTAGTTGGATACAATTAGACCATGTGACATTTAGTGTTCCCATGGGAACGCACATAGAAAGACAATCTTTTTAGACCTTAAAATTCTTTATAAATAGTGACGTTAAGTTGGCAGCTGTCAAACTACCACAAGAGGGGACCTTGAACTGTTTCCCCAGTGTGCAAGGTCTAACTTTCAATTTGTAAATTGAAAATGCTTTGTGTGGTGAAATAACGCTAGCATTTGTTCATTTAAGACATTATAATGAACGAGTCTTGACTTAAATTTTTAGTAGGGAAGTTCTGAAATTGTGCCAAGAATTAAAAAGAAGTATTTTATTATTGCGCTAAAGGAAGAACAGGTTCTTGATACATTCCCTTTATTTGATTCAGCATTTAACTCTTTTTCTGAAATTGACATCTTAACTGAATATTTTGTGTTGGACGTATCTTATACATTTAATATAGCAACAGTTGTAAGGTCGGTTTTGTTTTTGTTTTTTTACAAGTATGTTTTCTATATATATTTGAAATGTGTCTGAGCGACCCGCTATGTTAAAAACCTCCTGTCTTGTAAAAGTTAAGTTTTCTTCCACCTTTTAAAGATCAGGACAAATGTGCACATTTTTGCTGGTAAAAAAATCTACAAATTCTTCAAAAAATCTTCCGTTACCTCCCCTGAGTTGGTAAATCAGGCACAAATTTGGGACAAAAAAAATCAGTATAAACTAAACATAATTGTTAGAACCCAATTCATGCAACTTATACAACAGTTTCCTAATTCCGCTTCAAGTGTCGCTTTAGACAAGTTTGTTTATATCTAGAAGTTTGAATTCATCCTATCTTTAGACTACTGTACTTATTTATTCTACTGATTGCTTCATTTTTATAGATTCTATAAAAGGTATGGCCCTGAGGTGTTGAGTTTAAAAAACAAACATGTGTATAACTATATTTGGTAAAACCAGATAATGTTTAATGTGAAAAATTTCCATTTCAGTTATGCATCACAATAACTATCTTCTTCGTGAATTGTTTACCAATTTAAGCATCCATTATCTGCTCCCAGTAGAAGGGAGTTTAGTCCTGCTGATGGAAGCATTCTGTTCTTGTATGTTGGGCTGGAGAACTCGCCCAAGGGAGACAAATGGTCTTGAAAATCCTTTCTATGGAAAACAAGTGATGGATGCTAATAGGCTCACTAACATATTAAAATATTTATTATTACTTCATGAAAAATGAACTTTACATGTTATGAAAAACTTGATGTTTAGTAATTATTCAATTTTGATGATTGCAAATATAGAGATTCAGTAAGATGTTTGAAATGAAAATCCTTAATATTTTGTTTGTTTGTATATTTTTGAATTTTTACAATCTGTTTTCTTTTCTAGTGACTGCAAAATCATCCGAGACCCCCAGACATTGAAATCCAAAGGATATGGTTTTGTCTCATTCGTTAAAAAAACAGTAAGTACCTGTAATCCAATTTATTTACACTTCACCATGAGGAGTGTGTTGTTTGTTTGAGCTTTACATGTCCCAGCGACAGCGGGGCTCATATGAGGGCGGCACTACGAGGAGAGTAGATTGGTTGTAGTCACTTCAGTAGTGGAATCAGACAGTTCAGTTTAGGATGGAGTGTTTATCAAGAGTTTAAAGTCAAATATTCAAGTCCTAGACTAATGTTCTTCAGGATCTCTGCATACTCGAACTCATGTCCTCATGTCAACTTTCTTGGAACGGGAGATTTTGAAACCAGTCAACATACAGTATAGTATTTTTTCAATTGAAAAAAAAAACACAAAAAAACCCCAACAATTATGAAACTGATATAAATCACTCTTGTTGGCCCGGCTGTTAGCACACTTAATGTTGGAGAAAACCAAAGTACCCTGAGAAATCCATATGGTCAGGCAGGTGACCCCAAACTTTTTCACATCGGATTGGGGAATCGAACCCCAGCCGCCTTCGTGAAGGGCAAGGACGATATTCACTGCGCCACCACTTACGTTTCGTTGACACCAAACTAAAGCGTATCCAGATAAGGTAGCGTATAACTTGCCTGGCAAAGACTTATTAAAAGTAAACAAAATTTATGATCTTGGTATTGATAGCTTGACCAGGTTACCTGGTTGGTGGTGTGCTGATAGAGTTCATGCAGAGAGTTCCCTGTCCAAATTCTTTTTTTTGGCAAATTCCGTAGTCCTAAAACAAAATACACTTATATTCAACTACCTCCATATAAATATAGCCTTTGAACAATTTTTGAGTTACAAAATGATAGCGAAAAATGGCAAACAAGGAGAAGTTTTTTTTTATTTTACATTCATTTTCTTGTAAGTTCATGTAGTTCAAACAAAACAAGTTAGCAGTATTCCAAAGAGAATCTCGCTAAATGCAAGCAAAATTGATGAGAGATTTATTTTTAGCAGGTATCAATGTAAGATAGCTTATTTAATGGCCAAAATGAGGACAAATCGGCGGAATTAAAGGATTAGACTTTCCTGTCGTATTAATGATTGGATATCAGGAAAGTTAGTGGACGCGAGTATTGTGTCTGTCCACACTCTTTGACGAGCACAATCTCTCGGGGGAGGAAGCGTCAATGGTGAAAGATGGTTACAGTCCTGCCACAGGATCGGTGAACTCCCTGGCTAGTTGCAAAGTGAATGATTAATGGTCCATGTTGGCAAATCCAACAGCTCAACCAGTGTTACATCGGGCCAGAGATGGCGGAAGTGTTGTCAATCTCGACACAAGTTGTACAGGGGCTTTCCTCCTCCTAACCTCATCAGTTATCTTCCCAGAGCTTAGCTCACACGGGGCAGTAATGGTCACCTACGGTCAACCGGCGCCATGTTGGTGGTAATCCATATTCCAGCTTTAGCCATTGATTTTCAATCAAAACAACAAGAGACACATTAACATGTTTTGGGATATAAACTGGTGTTTACTTATGGTGACAAGACCAGCTGAGAAGTTTGGTGTAAGGCAGATTTTGTAGGGGATCAATGAGCAGTTAATGAACCACTATACACATCCTTAGACCTCTTGCCATTTAATTTAAAACAGACATTTTGTATTGCACTGATTTTCTGCTATTCATGTAGAAGTTATGTTTCTGAAAGAAAATAAATACAAATACATTTTGTGTAAATATTGTCACCTTTCCTTGAAATTCTGAGAGTAATCGGCCAGTCGCATCGCCATCTTTCTGTACTTATATACCCGTTCAGCTTGATATGAGTAATTAACACCAAACAATCATTTTTATAACTTGATAAAGGTTTTATTCATTAATCATTCAGAAATACATAACACGGGCAACTTTATGAAGTATCTAACATTATTGACTTGTTGTAAATAAGCGTTTTAAGGACTCTGAATGTCATTTTAATTGCACAGTGTCATGCAAACAGCAATTTGTAGCGATTTAGTTCATTGAACACCTCAGTACTTAACTATATTCCTATCTCTTTATAAAAGTGGAACAATTTTACTATCAGTAGGCTACAATAAATAAACAAATGGAAAATGTGTCACTGACACAGTATGGCGGGTCCTATGTCATAGGTCTACATTTAAGCTCAATAGGTTGAAAATAAGCCACTTCCACAATGTTGAAGATCTCTTTGAAATGCAATCGCTGCATTGACTATTTTTAATTCACAGTTTTCACAAACAAATCCAAAAATAATTGATCCTGCAAATCCCCATTTTTAGGTCACCTGAGCTTTAGCTCAAGTGACCTATTGCTATCCGTTTTCGTCCGTCGTCGTCCGTCGTACGTCGTCCGTCGTCCGTTAACATTTTACATTTCAAACTTAAAGTCAAGTTCTGCTGGGCCGATTGAACTGAAAGTTGATAAGAATGATCGCCTCATGGTCCTGACAAAGTGTTGTTATTTTTCGGGTCGATCAGAAATCCAATATGGCCGCCACGGCCGCCATTTTGAAAACCTATTTCAAACTTAAAGTCAAGTTCTGCTGGACCGATTGAACTTAAAGTTTGTAGGAATGATCGACTCATGGTCCTGACAAAGTGTTGTTATTTTTCAGGTCAATCATAAATCCAATATGGCCGCCACGGCCACCATTTTGAAAACATATTTCAAACTTAAAGTCAAGTTCTGCTAGGCCGATTGAACTGAAACTTTGTAGGAATGATTGACTCATGGTCCTGACAAAGTGTTGTTATTTTTCAGGTCGATCAGAAATCCAATATGGCCACCACAGCTGCCATTTTGGTAAACTATTTCAAACTTAAAGTAAAGATCTACTTGGCCGATTGAACTGAAACTTTGTAGGAATGATCGAATCATGGTCCTGACAAAGTGTTGTTATTTTTCGGGTCAATCAGAAATACAATTTGGCTGCCATGGCCGCTATTTTGCTACTAAGTTCTAATAGGCCGATCTCACTTAAAATTGGTCTAGGAATGATCAGCTCATGGTCCTGACAAAGTTAAGTTAACATTATACTTTTTTTTACTCAAATTGGTACATATTTCAACAACAAAAATAAATACTATAGACTCAGGTGACCGTTAAGGCCCATGGGCCTCTTGTTAAGTAAAAGTAGCTTACTGTACTTTAATAAACATTAAGTCACATGACATTCTCACAGTAAAGTCACATGACATTCTCACAGTAAAGTCACATGACACTCAGTGTGAAAATAAAAAGTCACATGACATTCTCACAGTAAAGTCACACGACACTCAGTGTGAAAATAAAAAGTCACATGACATTCTCACAGTAAAGTCACATGACACTCAGTGTGTAAATAGAAAGTCACATGACATTTTCAGGATAAAGTCAAGTGACATTCTCAGTGTATGCTGTAAAGTGGAATGGTGTTTTGAGTTAATTTTAACAACACTAATGTAGAAATTGTTAAGTTAAGGTTAACAGCGTCTCAAACTAAATATTGTGATTGAAATGGACTAAGAAAACTAAACTTGTTTTTGGTTTGTATCCATATGGAATATATATAGGGCTATCACAATATATCGTAAAAACAGGTATATCGCAATACACAGGTATTTCATATCGTACCATAACACAGAGATGAAATATCGCTATATCGCAATATTTTTCAAAAGCATATTTTTATGTATCTGCCTGGAGTTTTAACTTTGCTAATTACTACAAATTCTAACAGATATACCAATAAGCATAAAGCAGGCTTTTAATAGTTCAAATTTTGCAAAAGATGGTTAATTTGACAAAATCTTAAATCTATGTAATCCATATTATATATGATTAAGTTTATAATATTCTGACAACAACTTACTATAAAATTGAGCACATCCTTGCTATGACAATATATTGGGATACGTATCACAATATATCCATTCTGTATTGCAATATGTCATGGTACATTCTTGGCATATTGTGACACACCTAATGATATAACTTCAATATGACTTCAGGTAAAATGGCCGGTGAAATTTTCCTGTCATCTTTTTGACACTTATATGAACAAAACTTAAACCAATCCTTCCTCTGCAGTTTAAATGTCAATTAATGTGTTGATATTTAGAAAAGGTAAAGGATACATAAGCATAAGTTGAAACGATAGTGAGAAAAAATCTGACCTTGTAAGACGCTACCTTTATACTTGTTTTAATGAGAAATGTAATCAAACTAAATATGAGTGTATGGTTGATGCCCGTTTTAGTACATTTTAGTGGAGCACCGGCTAAGATAATCAAGGCTATTTATGTCACTGTTATAATTAAACCAATAGTCACTTTATTGTGAAACACTGTTGTCAAGGCCCCCATAATTTTCATTATCTTCATTTTGGGGTAGTATAATTTGTGTCTGTCAGCCAGTATGACTCAAACGCGAGGGTATTAGTGGATGGTTGCGGAGCTGATTAAAGACTAGCTGCTGTGAGCGCTGTTGTTTACCATCCAATGACATTACATTGATGGTGCTCATCGGAGGTTCGATTCCACAGGGTTGGTCCAGCCCTTTGGGACCGCTGTTCGGTGCGAAATCATTCTGGCCAGCACCGATATACCCATTTGGTATTGACATACAAAATTTACATACAATTCAGATCCATTGTGGAAGAAATGGGCTGGGAAGTCGTCTGTCACAGACACGAAATGTGTGTAAACGGCGGTCAGGGTCCGTCTACCACAGACAAATCCTGAGAACAGCTTAACTGGGCCTTACTCACCAGGTCATCGCCAGTCTGAAACTGCCTGGTTAACTTATCTCAGTCTGAGTTTTACCCGTCCGGTCATCTCAAGTCTTAACAAGGTCTGAAAATGCCTGGTTAACTTATCTAAAACTGCCTGATCAACTCATCTAAAACTGAGTTGTACCCATCCAGTCATCTCAAGTCTAACAAGGTCTGAAACTGCCTGATCAACTCATCTAAAACTGCCTGATCAACTCATCTAAAACTGAGTTTTACCCATCCGTTCATCTCAAGTCTTAACAAGGTCTGAAAATGCCTGGTTAACTTATCTCAGTCTGAGTTTTACCCATCTGGTCATCTCAAGTCTAACAAGGTCTGAAACTGCCTGATCAACTCATCTAAGACTGAGTTGTACCCATCCAGTCATCTCCAGTCTAATATGGTCTGAAACTGCCTTGTAAACTTATCTAGGTCTTGGCCTTACCAATCCGATGAACTTAACTCAGAATGAGCCTTAACCAATCTGGTCAACTTAACTCAAACTCAGCCTCTACCACTAGATCATCTTAACTCAGACTTAGACTTATCCACCAGATCATCTTAACTCAGACTTAGACTTATCCACCAGATCATCTTAACTCAGACTTAAACTTATCCACCAGGTCAACTTTACTTAGACTTAGCCTTACTCAAGTTCTGAAACTGCCTGGTCAACTTATCTAAGACTGAGCCTTCACCCACCTGCTCAACATAACTCAGACTGACCCTTAGCCACCAGATCAACTTATTTCAGACTGAGCCTTCACTCACCTGGTCAACCTATCGCAGACTGACCCTTAGCCACCAGATCAACTTATCTCAGACTGAGCCATACCCTTCTGGTCACCTTAGATACAATCAAGTGTAAAACCTTGTAGTTCCAAAGGACATTATCAAGTTGACATTGCAGGATAGCTCCAAAGGACTTCATCTTAAGTTGATAATATTTTGCTTCCAAAAATTTGATCAAGTTCACAATCGGTGATAGTGGGTAAGGACTTTATCAAGTTGACAATACTGTGATTCTACTGCATTCTGTCAAGTTGACAATACTTAAAGTCTCCTCAAGAGTGATTAACGACAAAGAATGTCTCATGGAAGGGAAAAAGCAGAGATAAAAATTTGTATTAGATCATTATAACTTTTGTTTAAATTATTGATCAAAACTCTAAGGGTTCGTGTACTGTTATGTATAACAAGGTTATTAATTGTAATCAGAACATTGAGCTTTCAGGATACACCCTTAATGAAAATCGTGTTCGTTCATCACTTATCAAATTTTCCGTGTCAGCGTGGCTCCCTTGTGGGTAATTTAATAATTCACCGTAAATTAAGAAATATGTATGTATAGCACACTTGTTGATTTATTTACATACAGACGGTAGGCCTTCTTCATAAACCGATTAGTACACACACCTACTCCGGAATCCAGTTTTAAAGTAATAAGAAAAAATAATTGTGTTATTGTACGGTTTATGCAGGTAATGCCTCTTCGTCTTAATTTAATTGCAATCAAGCGGTGTTGAACCATAATAGATCATTATGATGTACTCGTACATGAAATGCAAAAAGATTATAAATATTCTCCTAACGACCCCAATATACTTCTTCATAGTGCTCACACAGATCATAATAAAACTCAAGGGTTTAGAAAACTCTCAAATCTTCAATCTTCAAAATTAGCCTTGGATGTTGATATAATGGCAGAATAGCATGTCTGGACACATAGAAAAGTAACACATGCTTGGAGTGTTGACTCCGGTACGGTCGACGCATCTATATCCAGGAGCCAGCCAGCATAGTCTTCGTCATTGCCTGTTAAATAGTTAAGGATGTTAATGACATTTATTTGTAGATTGATTTCCGCAAATTGTAGCTCATTAGCCGATACTGCTACTGTGGTCTTAGATCGGAGAATTTGATATCTCTAGGTGATCCAAGGTTTAGCACTGTAAATTGCGTTTTTTTTTGTGTATGATTACCATATTTTTGTGTGTATTTACTGTATTTATTTCACATCTGTCTCTTGGTTTTATTTGTACGTACTTTAATTTGCAACTGAGCGGATGCTATTTCAACGTTGAAAGTAATGATATCAGAAAATAAGTAAACAAATTTAAATTTTGCAAATAAGTGCCCTCGCAAGTTAATACGAAAAGGATCTTTTGCCTAAATATGGTGATGTGCAATTTACTTTTTTTGTCTGTCCGTTCCTTATCTGCTGTTAAGCACTATAGAGGGTTTTGATATAATTGAATTCAGTATTTTTGTGTTGTATATAATTCTACTTAACAAATGTTTGATATCAAATCCATTCTTATAACCTCTCCCAGCCAATGAAAAATGCTATTCCTTTGTTTTATATGGAATTTGTATTTTTGCAGGACGCAGAAACAGCAATCAATGGAATGAATGGTCAATGGCTAGGAACCCGTGCCATACGAACTAACTGGGCAACCAGGAAACCCCCTGCACCGGTACCGAAAGAAAGTAGGTCGCAATCCCTCAACCTTAGTCACTTCAGTGCTTTACCAAAAGCAAAATGGTTTTAAACATCTGTCATGGTCAAAGTTTGGTCTTCTGAGCTATAAGACCAGAAGTGAAACCTCCACATCAAAATGAGGTCATTCCTGAACCTATGTTAAATTGCAATGACAACAGAAAAACTTATTATCAACCTTGTAACGATGTAAAAATAACATTTGTTTATGATGAGTCATTGTTTAGCTAATTATAAACTCATTCACCCCTGAAATTTCATAATGAATTATTCCAACTTTTGAAATGGAAGAGTTTAAATATGTCTTTAGGGGTGAATGAGTTAATGTAACTGACCAAAATTTTGATAAACCATATATATCATTATCTGCCCACAGCTGTAAAACAGATGTCCTATGATGAAGTATACAACCAGTCAAGTGCTACAAACTGTACCGTCTACTGTGGTGGCATAGCCAACGGTCTAACAGGTAAATATATAGTTACCTCTCTTCAGTATATGATAGGGCTGCGATGATTGTGCTTTCTACTGTGGTGGCATAGCCAACGGTCTAACAGGTAAATATATAGTTACCTCCCTTCAGTATATGATAGGGCTGCAATGATATATTGTGCAACGATATCGCGATATTTTGAATATGGTACGATACACGATATTTTTTGGAGGTCACAATACACATACAATATTTGCCAGATTTTATCGTTTCTGAATTTAGTTTACTCATATTGCCATTCCCAAATGGCGAGTGACAGCTCCAGATCAGCATGCAAGTCGAAAGATGTGAATTGTGTGAAACTTCATGCCCATTTTAGACCAAGTCTATTTTCTGTTGTAATATTGCTTATAAAATTTTGCAACATACCTTTTCTCTTCGCTTCTACTGTTACTATATGTATCACGATACGTATCGTATCGTGACCACAGTATGGTGATACGTATCGGATCGTGACTACAGTATGGTGATACGTATCGTCTCGTGACTACAGTATGGTGATACGTATCGTAGCTTGACCACAGTATGGTGATACGTATCGTATCGGGACTACAGTATGGTGATACGTATCGTATCGTTACCACAGTATGGTGTTACGTATCGTATCATGACCACAGTATGGTGATACGTATCGGATCGTGACTACAGTATGGTGATACGTATCGTTACCTCTCTTCAGTATATGATAGGGCTGCGATGATTGTGCTTTCTACTGTGGTGGCATAGCCAACGGTCTAACAGGAAAATATAGTTACCTCTCTTCAGTATATGATAGGGCTGCGATGATTGTGCTTTCTACTGTGGTGGCATAGCCAACGGCCTAACAGGTAAATATAGTTACCTCTCTTCAGTATATGATAGGGCTGCGATGATTGTGCTTTCTACTGTGGTGGCATAGCCAACGGCCTAACAGGTAAATATAGTTACCTCTCTTCAGTATCTGATAGGGCTGCGATGATTGTGCTTTCTACTGTGGTGGCATAGCCAACGGTCTAACAGGAAAATATAGTTACCTCTCTTCAGTATATGATAGGGCTGCGATGATTGTGCTTTCTACTGTGGTGGCATAGCCAACGGTCTAACAGGAAAATATAGTTACCTCTCTTCAGTATATGATAGGGCTGCGATGATTGTGCTTTCTACTGTGGTGGCATAGCCAACGGTCTAACAGGTAAATATATAGTTCCCTCCCTTCAGTATATGATAGGGCTGCAATGATATATTGTGCAACGATATCGCGATATTTTGAATATGGTACGATACACGATATTTTTTGGAGGTCACAATACACATACAATATTTGCCAGATTTTATCGTTTCTGAATTTAGTTTACTCATATTGCCATTCCCAAATGGCGAGTGACAGCTCCAGATCAGCATGCAAGTCGAAAGATGTGAATTGTGTGAAACTTCATGCCCATTTTAGACTAAGTCTATTTTCTGTTGTAATATTGCTTATAAAATTTTGCAACATACCTTTCCTCTTCGCTTCTACTGTTACTATATGTATCACGATACGTATCGTATCGTGCCCACAGTATGGGTATACGTATCGTATCGTGACTACAGTATGGTAATACGTATCGTATCGTGACTACAGTATGGCGATACGTATCGTATCGTGACTACAGTATGGTGCTACGTATCGTATCGTGACTACAGTATGGTAATACGTATCGTATCGTGACTACAGTATGGCGATACGTATCGTATCGTGACTACAGTATGGTAATACGTATCGTATCGTGATTACAGTATGGTGATACGTATCGTAACGTGACCACAGTCTGGGTATATGTTTCGTATGGTGACCACAGTATGGTGATACGTATCGTATCGTCACTACAGTATGCTGATACGTATCTTATCGTTACCACAGTATGGTGATACGTATCGTATCGTCACTACAGTATGCTGATACGTATCTTATCGTTACCACAGTATGGTGATACGTATCGTATCGTGGCCACAGTATGGTGATACGTATCGTATCATGACCACAGTATGGTGATTCGTATCGTATCGTGACCACAGTATGGTGAGACGTATCGTATCGTGACTACAGTATGGTGAGACGTATCGTATCGTGACTACAGTATGGTGATACGTATCGTATCGTGACCACAGTATGGTGTTACGTATTGTATCGCCATATTAATGTATTGTTGCAGCCCTAGTATTTGAGTTATATGTTTACCTTTGTTGAAGTGTATGGTTATTTGCCGTTGTGGAAAGCAAGTTTGTTTGTTATAACTGTAAATCAAAGTGTCCCCTCTCATGAAAAGTGCAGTTATCTGCCCTTGTTGAAAACAACAGAGATTTAAAGCACATACCAGTTTAGATATTTTTGTTGTGACATGAAATCTTGTACACAATGTGATTCTATCCTATTTCAATACCCTGTCTCCTGCACACCCACACACATGGAGGCAGTCACGTCCTTAAATGACCTTAGCTGTTAATAGGACGTTAAACAAAATTAAACCAAACCGAACAAATTCTATTTCAATTATTCCTGTTGAGAAGTCACCAGGTTTTAGACAGGTGACCATCACAACTGTTGTCTCCCAAATTCTTATTCCAGTTCTAGTTATCTCCCCTTCACTTTGAATTTTTAAGTCATCGGTATGTTTGATTACACCACAGCATGAGAGCCGTTCCTATTCGGCAAATCTATATAACGTTCAGTACATTTTCTGTTGAAAAAAGACCTGATATATTTGCTGGGATCTATTCTTAAGAAAAAAACTGACATTTGCAACACAAAGATTTCAACATTATAAAGTTGCAAATTTTTTCTTCATAAACCAACAGCCATTTTTGTTCAATGTATCTTGACTGTAGATGACAGGAAGAGGAGAGAAACAAATCTGATTATACCATTCTTTTCGCTGCTTCAGAAATTTTCATTAAAAAGGAACTTAATAAAGCTGTTCTACGATAGAGTTAGTGGCCTGGTGTCACGGTGTCCTGTCTCTGGCGGGGTCTGCGACCAGACGTTCATTCAAGACACACAAAATGAAATACAGCCTGTTCACATATTGCGTTATGTATTTATTATTGTGAAGCATGCCCCGACACTAATTGTTTCCATGTTTTACCCCAAATTTGATTCTGTTGCGGATGTGTGCCCAACATGCCGACCTGCCGAGCGAATTAGAAGAACGAGGTATGCTGGAAATTTTAATTTCCTGTGTGGGGAAGCTCTAAATCAAGCCTGTTCATTACTGACTCGGCTTTTGTCAGCCGAGCTACAAATCTGAATCTAGTTGAAATGGAGTTTTATAAGAAAGCACTGCCCCATTGCGGTCACACCGTGAAGAACGCATAACAAGTACAGAAGGGTCTCTCAAACTAATTTGAAGGACATTAGTGTTTTGCTCTACTAAGGCCTTTTTATCAAACTGAAGAAGATGTGACTTTTCACTGTCGGAGTAAGAGCACATACCAAAAAAATGTTGCCTGGTACCTTGACCCGGACCTTGTGAGGTAGCGAGATGATGTTGGAGGAGTTTCACCATGAAATCCCCAATTAGCAGCAACCAAGACTGTTAATTGGCTTTGGCAATGCGCATCTCCTTGCAGATCAATCTTCACCCTTACAAAGAGGATGTACAGCAAGGTTGAGATTGGATGTAAAAAAACCATTGTGCTAAATCTCGAAAGATTTATTTTGACATTAAAATGATAATGTGAGATTTTAGCTTTAGATATAGATCATTTGATTGGATGATTTTATCCAATCAGATTTTACTCCAAACACAACCTAGTGAATAGAGCTGATCAGCTCTAGCTGTATGGAGGTCAGTGGAGCTGTCCTTGACATTGGCTTTTGATTTGAATCAATTTATTAAGAGCATAAAGGGAATTAACTCAAAATTATCTGGAGAATTTCCTGTCAACTGTAGAAACGGTAAATATTATATCACAATGAAAGGATCCACAGAATCTATGGCTCAATCAAATATTGTTAATCACAAGAAGATGTTTTTGTAGAAGTCTTAAAACAATAAAATAATATTTTTTTACAAGTATGATATACATGTAGAAAAAACTAGTCTTTATTTTCAAAAAATTTGGCACATTAACAAAGTCGAAGGCTATCAATTGGCAATTTTTTCTGAAATTCATTCTTGTTTATGTAAGAGGTGATACATGTCATCACAAGCATGATTTTGCATTGTAAATGTCATTATAAATGAAATTAAAAAAATAGAAAAATAACAAATAAACAAAAAATCAACAAACACGTGTTTATGTGCTGAGTCGGAGGTCATGCAACCATGACGGATTGAGCTTTACGTCTCCATAATATGTCTGTCTCTAATACATAGTTCGAAAAACTTAGGAGAAGTTGTAATTAACGATAACGACCTTGTAAGAGTGTCTTCTACATGGTGCTCAGTTATTTACTGTTGTGCTGTACCTGTCTGTTACAACATATCCTAACTTCTTGACTGTCAAGGTCAAATATGTCGGTCTGTGAAGGTCAAATACTTCGGAATATCAAGATTAATTACTTGCATCTCTCAAGGTTGGATACACTCATGGCCGTTAAAGTTGACCACTCATGGCCGTTAAAGTTGACCTCTCATGGCCGTTAAAGTTGACCCCTCATGGCCGTTACAGTTGACCGCTCAAGGCCGTTACAGTTGACCACTAATGGCCGTTAATGTTGACCACCCATGGCCGTTAATGTTGACCACCCATGGCCGTTAATGTTGACCACTCATGGTCCTTAGCCGTTAATGTTGACCACCCATGGCCGTTAATGTTGACCACTCCTGGCCGTTAAAGTTGACCACTCATTGCCGTTAAAGTTGACCACTCATTGCCGTTAAAGTTGACCACTCAAGGCCGTTACTGTTGTCCGCTCATGGCCGTTAATGTTGACCACTCATGGCCGTTAAAGTTGACCACTCATGGCCGTTACAGTTGACCACTCAAGGCCGTTACAGTTGACCACTCATGGCCGTTAATGTTGACCACTCATGGCCGTTAGCCGTTAATGTTGACCACTCATGGCCGTTAAAGTTGACCACTCATGGTCGTTAATGTTGACCACTCATGGCCGTTAAAGTTGACCACTCATGATCAGGTCTATTACAGTTGAATAATAAGGTCAAGGTGACGACCTCTTTCGCCTGAAGATTGAATACACTAGATTGTCAAAGTTGAACAATCAGGTCTGTCAAAGTTGAATTCTACAGTCTTGTCACGGTCAAGTGCATGACGCTTTAGAATTTCTCGACCAATCAAATTACAGGATGACCTGGCCCTGCTTATGCATATCGCATAAGGTAAACACACGAAGGGCCCTTCTGGTGTTTATCGAATATCATTGTATGTATGTACGTTAAGTTACATGTGATTGTGAAATAACAATATAAATTTGAATGACAGGTATTTACATAATTTAGACTATTCGATCGTTATGTGTACTTACTTGTACTCATAAATAAAACATTAATTAGACTTGTCAGTTTAAATACCAGTAAAGATGGAATACACCAATCTGTCAATGTTGAAGGTCTGTCAAGGTCAACCATGCAGGTCTGTGTAAAATATTAAGGTCTTCCAGGGTTGAGGAACTAGCTCTGGGAAACCCAAGTGCTGCTGAAGTTCTTAACCTTATAAAATTGAAAACTAGGGTTTTCTACTTAGGTTTGTCTGATAAACAAGTTGTTATGGAGATGCACATGTGCCTTTGTTGTCTTGCTTGTCCTTTCATTAACTGCAAAAAAGAATCCTTACGATTTGTAGCATTTCTGCATTTCTGAAGTTTCTTGTACAGCGCAATAGATAAGTGCCTAACAAGAGATCATAGCGCTCGTCAGCGTGGTGTTATGTGGATTGTTGCTCGGTTAGTTTGATATGGTTATTTCATTAATTTAATATCGGTAACAGCCTGTTAGGGCAGCAGGCTTATACTGGGCTGGTGGTGGCAGCATGACAGTGAGTCTTAACCCTGTGTCAGTTCACTCCCAGCTCCGTGATAGCAATGATCTACAGGCTGCCACGCTACATAACAATATGTGTACTTTGGATTTCAAATAGATAAATAAATTAGGTTGGCAAATTGTAAAATAAAATTGGACGGGGTAAGAAAATCTGGGCAACAGATGTATGTGAGAAAGCTGATAATGCGTGTATCTGGAGAAGTATAGGCTTGTCTCCAGCTTCTTACTCCGATATAAGTGGCTCTTCTTTCCCGTCAAAATCAATAATTTAGCCCCAAATTTGTCACATGATACTAGCGCGTATAGACAGACAGTTGGAATATTTCTGGGTCTCATGCCTAAAAGATTTGTCATCTCCCTACAGTGTCGTGTCATTGTTTTATTTCCCGTTTGTTTGGTAGGCTGGTGTTGCTGGCTTGAGTCTTGTGGCTGTTAAGGCATTTCCCAGAACGTTATCAAGCGACATCGGGGCAAAGCAGATTGTCATTCGATAAAAACAATCTCAGTTATATTTACACCATTATTCTGATAGAATGTCTCGGGGCAATGACAAAACTGAGGTTGAAAGGAAATTGTATTATTCAATGATATGTGAAACATAAGACATTTGCTGTGGGTCATATTAAATGTAATCCCAAGCTGACAAGACACGCAAAAACAGTGCCTTAAATGGTTTTTGAAATCTCCATAATTTGTGCCGTTTGACACGTGGTATTCAATGAGGTAGGGGCGTCATGTGACTTGTTCGACGAGGCGGAAGGTCTCCGATTCCCTGTTATATTGGTTGTGTTCCAAACATGTAATGATACCATTACTTGATATTTTCCGTACACATTATGAATTTTTATGTCTGATTTGCTTCCGTGTTGGGTTTTTCATTAGATGCTGGTGTACCACGGGCAGTACTGTGGCTGTTGCTGTTCGGGGATCATCTATATCAAATATTTCCAATACATTTCCAAATAAGGAAATTTGGTGGTGATTCTTACCGATCTGAGTATGAAGAGTGATATTGCTTTCTATCACCTATGTAGTAAATAATGTCTTGTTCATCTTATTGGATTGGTAAGAAGTCAACAGAACAGTCAGTGATTGATGTAGCTTGTATAACAACGTTACAGCTCAACTATTAAATTGTAGCTAAGGAGGTGTGATAGTTTTTCGAAATAATTAACTTTAAGATGTTGATAACCGTATTAGTTTCTGTTGTAAATTGAGTTATCAGTTGGTGGGATTAGGCTGTCAAATGTTATCTGCTGATAAGCTGTCATGAACATTCTTGATGTTGGTTACCTGTTGGTATGCATTGAGTGAACGTGTTCTTACTAACCTGTTGGTAGATTTGAGTTACCTGTCATTAATTACCTTTAGTGAGTTACCTGTTTATGAGTCACCTGTTGGTACATATTGAGTTACCTGTCATTATTTACCTTTAGTGAGTTACCTGTTTATGAGTTACCTGTTGGTACATATTGAGTTACCTGTCATTAATTACCTTTAGTGACTTACCTGTTGGTACATATTGAGTTACCTGTCATTAACTACCTTTAGTGAGTTACCTGTTGGTACATATTGAGTTACCTGTCATTAATTACCTTTAGTGAGTTACCTGTTGGTACACATTGAGTTTCCTGTTAATTCTTGGTAAAAAGACATGTGCATGGTTACCTGTTGGTATACAGAAAGACCTTGGGTTATTTCTGGGTAAATAGACCTGCACATGGTTACCTGTTGGTATACAGAGAGACCTTGAGTTATTTCTGGGTAAATCGACATGTACAGGGTTACCTGTTGGTATACAGAAAGACCTTGAGGTATTTTTGGGTAAATAGACATGTACACGGTTACCTTTTGGTATACAGAAAGACCTTGAGTTATTTTTAGGTAGATAGACATGTATATGGTAACCTGTTGGTACACAGAAAGACCTTGAGTTATTTTTTGGTAAATAGACATGTACACGGTTACCTCTTGGGATACAGAAAGACCTTGAGTTATTTTTAGGTAGATAGACATGTATATGGGTACCTGTTGGTAAACAGAAAGACCCTGAGTTATTTTTGGGTAGATAGACATGTACACGGTTACCTGTTGGTGTACAGAAAGACCTTGAGTTATTTTTAGGTAGATAGACATGTATATGGGTACCTGTTGGTAAACAGAAAGTCCTTGAGTTATTTTTGGGTAGATAGACATGTATATGGGTACCTGTTGGTAAACAGAAAGTCCTTGAGTTATTTTTGGGTAGATAGGCATGTATATGGTTACCTGTTGGTATACAGAGAGACCTTGAGTTATTTCTGGGTAGATAGACATGTACACGGTTACCTCTTGGGATACAGAAAGACCTTGAGTTATTTTTTGGTAAATAGACATGTACACGTTTACCTGTTGGTATACAGAAAGACCTTGAGTTATTTTTTGGTAAATAGACATGTACACGGTTACCTGTTGGTGTACAGAAAGACCTTGAGTTATTTCTGGGTAGATAGACATGTATATGGTTACCTGTTGGTAAACAGAAAGACCTTGAGTTATTTTTGGGTAGATAGACATGTATATGGTTACCTGTTGGTACACAGAAAGACCTTGAGTTATTTCTGGGTAAATAGACATGTACACGGTTACCTGTTGGTATACAGAAAGACCTTGAGTTATTTCTTGGTAAATAGACATGTACACGGTTACCTGTTGGTACACAGAAAGACCTTGAGTTATTTCTTGGTAAATAGACATGTACATGGTTACCTGTTGGCAGATGTCAGGTTACATGGCCTCCATGACAGCTTTGAAGAGGTTCTGATCCGTCTGAGTTGTGCATTAGGTGGTCTACACCGAGAGACCTCTGACTTGGTCAAGTAGAATCACTGATGATACCCTAGTAATGGCACACTGCACTAACATCCTTACCGCCTGTGACAATTCTCAAGATCGTACGCTATACTTACAGCCGTAGTTAATACATTACAACAAGGTCTGCATGGTTGAGCGGACTCGTGATACCGTTCGAAGAAATGTTTGGGACAAATCAACTCAGTTGCTCAATTAAAGTTGCTCAAGAAGAAAAACCATGAGAGGAAGACGTTTCAGTGGCAATGTCTAAAATCAATCAGATTTGTCACTAGGCCCTTTGTTTGTCCAAGAAGAAACTGATGGCTAGATATGTACTCAGATTTAACTCATTCTCCCCTGAAGACACATTTGAACTCTTCCAATTTAAAGGTTGGAATAGTTCAATAAAAAAATTCAGGGGTATTTGAGTTAACATATCACCTATACACTTTGTGACCGTTTCTTTTCAATTAAATATAGTGCATCTTCATTCAGGTATCCAATTCCCTAATTACAGCCTGAGTCTGTAAGTTATGTCATAGGTTGTACCGCAGAGGGAAAAAGAATATGTGCAGCATAGTTAACTTATTTTCCACTGAAATTTCATAATGAACTATTCCAATCTTTGCTTTGGATGAGTTCAAATGTGGCTCTAGGGCTGAATGAGTTAAAGCTGGGGGTTATTGTTTTTCCTTTACAAAAAATTCAGTTAAATTGGTATTTGGATTTCGACAATTCATGATTGTGATGTTATTTTTGTCTTGCAGAAGATCTTATACGTCAAACATTCAATACCTACGGCACAATACAAGAAGTTAGAGTATTTAAAGATAAGGGTTATGCTTTCATAAGGTAAGTATACGACACCTTCGATTCCTTGGTCGTTAATTTTCTCCAAATTTATTATCCTCACTTGTATGATCGGGATATATAAGATATATATTTTCAATTTTTTTCACCCTTTTCTGTACATTATTTAAATGCTTCGAGTAACTTCTAACTCATTTTATTTTAAAATGTTGTCGTCTAAGAGTAAATTATTGAGTTATATAAAACCGGATGAGGATCTACCTGTATTTATAACTGGAAAAAGTCTCATTGACAATTCAATTCTCAATTCAAATTAAGAACGGAAAACAAAAAATGTCTTTGTTTTTATTTTATTTCACTTTCTTTTTTAGATTTTCCACAAAAGAAGCAGCTGCTCAAGCAATCTGTTCTGTGCATGGTACTATGGTGAATGACCAACAAGTCAAGTGTTCCTGGGGAAAAGAGTCCAACGACCCTAGTCAGAACAGTACTGGGGGCTCTGCCACACCCCTGGTAAATATCCCGCCCTCTACCTCTCACCCTTTAGTCAGAACAGTACTGGGGGCTCTGCCACACCCCTGGTAAATATCCCACCCTCTACCTCTCACCCTTAAGTCAGAATAGTACTGGGGGCTCTGCCACACTCCTGGTAAATATCCCAACCCTCTACCTCTCACCCTTAAGTCAGCACAGTACTGGGGGCGCTGCCACACCCCTGGTAAATACCCCCCCCTCTACCTCTCACCCTTTAGTCAGAACAGTACTGGGGGCTCTGTCACACCCCTGGTAAATATCCGAACCCCCTACCTCTCACCCTTAAGTCTGAACAGTACTGGGGGCTCTCCCACACCCCTGGTAAATATCCGACCCTCTACCTCTCACCCTTTAGTCAGAACAGTACTGGGGGCGCTGCCACACCCCTGGTAAATACCCCACCCTCTACCTCTCCCCCTTAAGTCAGAACAGTACTGCGGGCTCTGCCACACCCCTGGAAAATATCCCACCCTCTACCTCTCACCCTTTAGTCAGAACAGTACTGGGGGCGCTGCCACTCTCCTGGTAAATATCCCAACCCTCTCCCTCTCACCCTTAAGTCAGACCAGTACTGGGGGCTCTGCCCCACCCCTGGTAAATATCCCCACCCTCTACCTCTCACACTTAAGTCAGAACAGTACTGCGGGCTCTGCCACACCCCTGGTAAATATCCCAACCCTCTACCTCTCACCCTTAAGTCAGAAAGGTGGTCCCTGTGACCGGTCCTAGACAAGGTGGTCCCTGTTACCGGTCCTAGACAAGGTGGTCCTTGTGACCGGTCCTAGACAGGGCAGTCCCTGTGACCACTCCTAGACAAGGTGGTCCCTGTGACCACTCCTAGACATGGAGGTCCCAGTGACCACTCCTAGACAAGGTGTCCCAGTGACTGGTCGTAGACAAGGTTGTGACCACTCCTGGAGATGGCCAGACGGACTTGTACTATATGATGATCTGTCTGTCTACTACACATCAGAATATCTGGTCACCGTCAAACCTGTCAGCTTCCATCATACTCACACAATATCTTCCAGTTTACGAATCTTACTGGAAACGTTATTGATATTTTTTTAAGTTTTGGATCACAGCCAGTACATTTGAAACCTTTCACAGAAATATATTGATTTTCTTTAAAAAAAAAACGATGTTGAGAATAATGGTGTGGATACAATATAAAGCTAACTACCAGTAATGTCCAGTTGTAGAGTGAGTAATGGGGTCCTTGCTAGGGCCAGTAAGGCTTGAGCGTAATTGTTATTGGCCCCACGGTTACTTATGGTGTGAGGAATCGCTCCGATGATGGCTAAATTACAGGCGTTTGATTGATGGTGTCATCAGACTACCCCCACTGGCTTCACAACTTTTGTCACGATTTGTTCCGATAAGTACAAGAGCGGCGTCCAGACTACGCGTGTACTGGCGGCGTCCAGACTACACGTGTACTGGCGGCGACCTGGCTACTCTTAAAAATGGCTTCTGAAATCACCTCGTTTGTTGGCTAATATCTACTATTATACTTCGTAGGTTTTACACGATACGGCTGCACAGTAAACTGTATATTTGTGAGTCGTAGTTATTTTCTTGGAGGAGTTTCATTTGCTGCTGCTTTTGAAATATAATTAATACAAGAATGTTTTGGTTGAAAATGCAAAGTCGGAAAGACAGATTTATGCTAATATTTGGTTACTAGCGATTATTTGTTACGGAAAAATGTCTGACCGTCTTGATCACTAGGCCTCCACAACTAGGTCGCGGTTTGGAGACCTACATAGGCAGTCGCCAGGTACTGGCCGCAGGTCCATGGTTTACTCCGGGTATTTCGGCTTTCTTCCACCATCAAAAGTTGGCCTTTAAATGACTGTAGTTATTTATAAGATGTAAAACACAAACAAACTGAAGATAGTGAGTACTTATCTCTGATGTTGTATTTGACAATGTAAATATGTCGTCCACAGCCCACACAGAACAGTCCCGCCCAGCAGAGTCCACAGCAGCAGTACTCCACAAGCTCGCCCTCATCTTACTCCCCATACTTCAACATGGGCTACTACTTCCCAGGGGCCGCCGCCTATCAGAACATGGCACAGGGCAGCTACATGCAGGCTGGAGGTATTAACCAGTGGCCTGCAGGCTACAACTACCAGACATACAGGTAGGTCAAGGTCATAGCAGATCTCAGGTAGGTCAGTTGGTAGTTACCAATCCAAAGTAGGTCAAGGTTACACGACAATTGGACTCGCATTAGGTCGAGGCAGAGGTCATAGGTCATACTAATTCACTTCCAAGAAAATGTAGAAGGATAAAATAAAGGTCAAGGTCACAAGGTCACAAGGTTGACATTCCACAGAAAATTTAAAAGTAGTCATGTATTAGTTTTCTGAAAAATAAGATATGATTAACAAAATATCCTGTATCTACTCGAATTTATTCTGGTTGCGATGGTAACTGAATGTTTATGTTGGTTGCCATGATTACAGTATGCCGACGACAGCTGTCCAGCAGTGGGGACAGGTCCAGATGCAACCGGGCCAACAGCAGCAGTTCAACGGCCAGCAACCCGGCATGATGGGATACCCAATGCAGCAAGGTACATCCCATAATATCCGGGGTCTGTTTTCTTCTTTAGGCCACAGCATGTACAGTGAAACCTATCTAAACTGAACAAGCACCAGAACGACATTGATTGTCAGTCGACATGGTTACTAGACAACTGGGTTTACACACAGTTTAGATACGTTACACTGTATTATCAAGTATTTCATTTCTCTTATGTATCAATATTTTGTTTCTTCCATTTCTCTTTTTAATCATTTTGCATGACATTTTAGATTTGACTCATAATTTATTTCTAGGGAGGGATTTAAACCCTAACAACTAAAACTATTCAGTACTTTGCACTCTTAGATATACCGATAACAGTCCATTTCCTATGCAGTTGTTCTGCACTTCTCGTGTAGCGTACTGATGCCCGTAAAAAGAGCTTGGTCTTTGTGGCTTTGCATTGCTCTATCACTCTTTAAAGTGTTCTAGCAATCTTGAGCATTTCTAATACTCTAATGCTTGGCACTCTTTAAAGAGGGGTGACTTTTTGAAACAAGTTTTTATTGAGAATATATCTTGTATGATAGAAATTGCACCACAGCACTAATTACTGATACCGTTAGTGTTTGTTTATCAACTAAGATGTCCAGTATGTTGCTTTACGGACGATTTATGTGAATTTCAGATGAAGGCGTGGAAACAGGTCAATAAAAGTGTTTAGTTTGTATATCCATGTGTGGTGGGGCAAAAGCTAGTTCTCTCCCTTGCATGGTGGAATAAAAATAGGAAAAACTGGAGTTGATATAAATGTCAATATTTTGTAAAACGATTGAAGATTTGTTTATAAAAATTTAGAATTTTTCGAACAATGTGTGAATGCAAGGGAGAAATCTGCCAGAATGCCTGTTAATTTTAATCCTGTATATATACAACCTAGTATATCATAGCAATATATATTCTGTGTATCAATCATAGCTAGGGCAGCACAAGGAATGCAAAATTAAACATGGGCACAAATTAACAGTTTCAAATGTCGAAATGATTTTCAAAACATTTTGAAATATTATTCATGGATTTTTTTATATAAATTTATGGATTGATTTTCAAAAAAAAAAAGTAAAGTGGCAGTTGTAATTTCATGAAAGATGATGGTACTCTGTTTAAACAACACTGAATTGAACAAGTTGAAGGAAATTAAAATATCCTATTTCATAGAATGATACTGGTAGATAGAGGATAAGGGTGGGAGTTGTATGTGCAAATTAGAAAAACATTCAAAAATAAACATGTACTAGACTACGCAGAAATGATTGATTAAATGTACCTTCCAAAACATAGGGGAAGAATCGTTTTTGTGCAATTCATGAAAATTAAATGCAGATAAGATGGATGCTTAGCATTGTGGGAAGGGACAGGTGCATGCTGGGTACAATATATCAGGCTAGTGTGACCTGCTGCTAACATGTACGGGGTCAAAGGTTGGAAATATTGCCCTGCCCACTCCATGTTGATGTGTAGATTTCCCGCCCCTGACCCCACCCCCCTTTCTCCTGAATCTGTCACAGTCTGCAGCTGTCTGTATGCTGTCTGTATATGGTTGTGTTGGACTCCGCCCTCAAGTACTCAGTTCATCGTCACGGAAACACATTCCCAGCTATTACAGATATAATTTACTAGGCTCATTATATTCATATCTTTCAAAATATTCTCTTTCAATGCTTTCTAAGGACAATTGGAACGTCGGCAACATAATACTTACTGCATATTAAAGACTAACATATTTACTGATTCACCCCTGAAATGTTATAATGAACTATTCTAACTTTTACAATTGGAAGAGTTCAAATGTGTCTTCAGGGGTGAATGAGTTCATTAAAATTTGTCTGCGTTTCAAATTAAGACATCAATTATATTTACACTTATCTATTTATTGCCTTTGGGTTTTTTTCGCTTTAAAATTATTATTTTTTTATTTCCATATTTTTTTCTTAAATTTAAACAATATCCCCTACCACGGCTTCTTCCAAATCTGCTGTGATGCATGTTTGATGATGAGCTGAGAAACCTTTGGGTACAGTCATTTGTTTCTGTGTGACGATCACTTTCAGCTTGTTTGCCTCGTGTTTTTGTGTGCATCTCTTTAAATTAATTAATGGTTTTTTGTCTTTTCCAAACTAAATCATTCCTGATTGTTTTTACTACTCACAGGTATGTGTTGGTCCTTTGTCGATGAAATGAACAAAATTCCATTATATATCACATATTTATTACCTTTTTTGATATTTTGAAACTTTCTGCTCGTTTTAGCTGAATATATAATCGGAATTTATTTTAATGTTTCTGACAAATCTGTAGCCATTTTGTATAGATATTAATTTAGGTTGGATTTTTGTGATACATGTAGTTGTGGAAATCGTCGGATAAAATCCTCCACACCATCCCTAGGCTTGAGTTTCCGTGTTTTTTCTCGCGTTAACTTCTGCTAGTAGGTAGTCATGACTTTAGCTGTTTCATAGATCATTACATTATTTTTGAATGTATTGGCTTGCACAAAATATTACTCTATAAGTTTTAAGACTTTCTGCTAATAATTTCTTTCCCAAGAAATCTACATCTAGACATAATCTAATCCAAATGCTCCAGGTCCGGGGGAAAATGGACGGAAAACTAACACTCTGAGAATTGGGCTCCTTCTTTTGCCGGAAAGACAAAAATTAACGCTCTGCACTCTACTATAAATTTTGGGATCTCAAAAAGCTGGACTTGTGACGTAGTCTTTATATTACTGGGATATCCAAGGGTATATGTCTGTATCTCATTTCTAAGGGCTGGATTCTTACACGCTCCGACATTTGTCACCATCAGATATCAGTTGTTCAGTGTGTGACATCAGCACTTCAGTTGTTCTCCGCGGTTTAGTCTTCGATCACTTTGAAATGGATGTTAAATGTTTGTACCCGTTAATATACCCAGGAGTGGCTCAGACGAAAGATGGGTTGACTTTGATGGAAAAGACAAAATTCATTTGCTAGCATTAATGTACAAGGTGATATTTCTCCAACATTGATATCATGTTGACATCAGAAAATGTTGACATTTGTTATTGTTGATCTTATGTTGACATCAGTCTGTTGAAAATGTGTAGACGCTAACTTACAACTTGTACACGTTAACATATAGCTGGTTTCTGTTAACGTTGACATGAACTTTAATGTCAATATGTTGAGGTGTAGCTGATGTTGTGTTGACATAAATGTAACGTTGACATCTCGTCACACCAACACTGTTGGTGTTACGACCTGTTGACATCCCCAGCACTCCACATGTATGAGGCTTGAGGTAGTATTTCCCTATCTCTTGGGGCAGGTGTCGGCGGAATGATGGCCCTTAATTATCTCAAGTCCGCTCCGTGACGAGACCGCGCACCGAGACCAGGGTGAGTTGGACTTTTATGGCCAACTTTTCCGATATTTTGTCTGTCTTTTAACTCCTGCACTGCAGTTTTATTTTTACTCTTTTGTTTTTTTCATTTTATTCTTTTTTGGATCTACCTCTTTTTTTATTTTTATTTTTTATTTATACTAAATATCCAATCTAAATTCATCTTAAGATTTCTTAACATTCTTACAAGATCTTTCTACATTATGCATGAACTCTTTGTAGCTCTGAACTCTGAATCTGTACTTTTGGTGAAATTGTAGGCCCATTGAAACAAAAATCGTAAGCTTGATACATGTTGAGGTAGTCGGACGCATATACAAGTGTGGTACAGTAGGTGTAGACTAGGTGTTTTGCTAGGCTAGTTTGAGTTTGGATTGAAAAACAATTGGAATTCATTTCATCAGCAAAAACATAACAAAAATAACCCAACCCTGTATGGCTCTGAGAAACTATCATATGATCTGCATATATATATATATCCTGTTATGTCCGAGTGTTCCTTTTATAATAATCATATCTGTGAAGATTGCATGTCACTATATTCTGGTAGCTACAATATACTCCAGGGAAAACCGTTACATGTTCCTAACATGACACGTGTGTACTGTCTATTGGTGGGTTGCTACGATATACTCTAGAGAAAACCGTTACATGTTCCTAACATGACACGTGTGTACTGTCTATTGGTGGGTTTTAGTTTTATTGACATAGTAATTATAAATTCCTAAAAAATGTGGTTTTTGTAGTGCTCCAGGCACTGTTTATCATAAGCATTGTAAACCGTGTAATGTTCGAATGTTCAATTATTTATTTAGACAAAGTTGTAAAGGTCAATGTTTGTGTAAATTTATTGATATGTAAAGATATTTATATAGTTATGAGGTTATAAAGTGTAAAGTTTATGTAAATTTATTGACACTGATCATTCACTATTGACGCAGACCATTCACCCTATAAGACATGTAATATTTATGTGTAAAGTTAGTTATATATAGACAAGGTTATAAAGTGTAATGATTGTGTATAAAGTAATTGACACAGACCATTCACCCTATAAGACATGTAATATTTATGTGTAAAGTTATTTATATAGACAACATTGTCAAGTGTAATGATTGTGTATAAAGTAATTGACACAGACCATTCGCCAAATAAAGCATGTTATGCTTATGCAAAAAAGTTACTGACAAATACTGTTAGCCTTAAGATGTGTGTTATGTTTAAGCACAAACTAATTGAGACTTACTTGTTAGCCCTACAAAGCATGTATTATTAATGCGTAAACTTATTGACCCAGATTTTAACTCTGTAAAGCATGTTATGTGTAAAGTACTGACTCAGACCCTAAGACGTATATATAGTTGGAAATATTTACACATGACCGTAACGACCTGAACCGTTACCCCAACGTTTTTATAACCTTAATCACGTAAACACTATTAAATTTGTAACGCTCATGTTAATGACATCAGAAATAGTTTTGATTTATTTCAGATTTTCGGTTTCATTACGATACTTCTATATTTTGTTTTGATTTTAACACACGGCTGATTTATACATATCTACATCTGTCTGTTATCACAACACCGCACCAGTAAACACTGGGTTACCTCCCTATATCCATCGCCTGATTCATCAAAATGTTTTAAAAGAATTTTTATTTCATAGTTAATTTGAGTTTTGTGTAAGGTTTATATACATTACCTCAGTGTAACATGCTTGTTTTCGAACAGTCGTTTAAGTTCTTCAATAATTTCACCCAAAGCTGAATGAGACTTTTTGAGAATCTTTTAATTAATGTAAGGCTCCAAATTCTGAAAAAGAAAATTTGCGTTCTGTAAACAAGAGATAAAAAGTTCTTTTAATGAATCAGGCTTGGACAAAATTTGGTTTTTATGTATTTTTATTGTGTTGTTGGCTGCCTGTATGTCTGTAATTTTAATTTAGTTTTTGTTTCTGCTGCAGAATGATGGGAGGACAGAGGGTGGATACCAGAGTTAGATTAAAGTAGGTGTTGCGTTGCCTTGCGCATGTCGCACTTGGGTTTGGAAACTGAGTTCAAGGTGTATTGTCATCCTATTGTGTCCCGGTCACAGCTAGATACAGAGGGAACAGCGCTACTGTCATTTCATCTACTAGTCATAGCTATGTACCCATCACAGCTAGATACAGGGGGAACAGTGCTAATGACATTTCATCTACAAGTCATAGCTATGTACCCATCACAGCTAGATACAAGGGGAACAGTGCTAATGTCATATCATCTACAAGTCATAGCTATGTACCCATCACAGCTAGTTACAGGGGGAACAGTGCTAATGTCATTTCATCTACAAGTCATAGCTATGTACCCATCACAGCTAGATACAGGGGGAACAGCGCTAATGTCATTTCATCTACAAGTCAAAGTTATGTACCCATCACAGCTAGATACAGGGGGAACAGTGCTAATGTCATTTCATCTACAAGTCATAGCTATGTACCCATCACAGCTAGATACAGGGGGAACAGTGCCAATATCATATCATCTACAAGTCATAGCTATGTACCCATCACAGCTAGATTCAGGGGGAACAGCGCTAATGTCATTTCATTTACAAGTCATAGCTATGTACCCATCACAACTAGATACAGGGGGAACAGTGCCAATATCATATCATCTACAAGTCATAGCTATGTAACCATCACAGCTAGATACAGGGGGAACAGTGCTAATGTCATTTCATCTACAAGTCATAGCTATGTACCCATCACAGCTAGATCCAGGGGGGAACAGCGCTAATGTCATTTCATCTACAAGTCATAGCTATGTACCCATCACAGCTAGATACAGGGGGCACTGTGCTAATGTCATTTCATTTTCGATGAAGCCTCGCACATGGGAGTGGGGTATCCAATCAAGAAAGGGTTCCTAGCTTGGCGTGATTTTTTTCACTGCTCTCATTTGAGGAGCTTTGAATTCTATTTTGAAGCTCTGACTGGGTGGCCTCAAGATGACAATTGAATTTCCACGGAATATAACAGTTCTATCATTTACTCAGTTATTACGATATTGAGAAATCTGAAAGCATGTTGATTCAGAAATGCTCATATTCACAATTAGGACTTTGTTTTTTTGTATATCCTTTTTTATTGAGACTGCTGTTAATTTGCCTTGATTTAAGTTTTCCAATTTATTTATTTTTACAATTACCTTAAGATTCATATCCTGATTTTTCTGTTCTGAAAACTGAAGTTACTAGGTCTATAATGCATTTATAATCTGTAGGCGTATCACCTCATTTCTGGTATTGACCATCAACACAATTCCCCTTTCACCAATTGGTTGCATCAGATATTACAAGAACTGTTTTCTGATATGTTTTAGGATTCCAGCAAGCTCAGTGATCATGACTTACCACGTTCCATCTGCCATCAACTGCCACGCGTCATCCCTGGTCGTATTCGGCTGATCCTGGTCGTGGCACCCCATCCCGCACTACTACCTTATACTGCTGGAGGCTGTTTACGCAGTCTGTGATGTGTCCTTCGCGGGAAGGAAAAGCTAACAGCACAGAAAGCAACTTCAGCTCAAATATTTCATTATCTATTGTATCATGTTTATCTAGTACAGTTATCTATCTGTTCCATATAAAAACTTAAATAGAAATGTTACTTTTAAGTTTTTACATGGACTTGAAGTTTGGTAAACGAATAAAAGTATTTAACCTGTAATTTCTTTTAAATAACAATTTCTAAATAAATCCTGTAGGCAACATTCTTTTTGACATGTTTTAGGGACCGAATATTTCAAGTAGAAACAGGATGACAGTTTTGAGGGGGTTGAAAAAGGAGAATTTTATGATTGATTTTGGCAGAAGTTGCTGACTGTACTTTAAGCATAACCATCTCATCAACTTTGTACATAGATGTATGTTATACCATGTAGAGGTTTATAATGAGGCTGGTGTTCAGGATACAGGTTCTCATTGAGCGGAGATGCAACGGTTGTGGCATCTTGTTGTGTATTACAACCTCGGCTGTGGCATCTTTCATATTGCATCTGTGTATACCATGGCTCATAGCTTCAGCTCAAGTTATACTGACAAAATTCAAAACACTGCTGTCTCATATTCCAGGAAAAGATATTTTATTGCTTGTACCAGAATCACATGGAAAAGATATCAAATATCCTACAGTGTAACTTCTCGCTGTTGATTTGGGTTGTACGGAAAAGGAAGAGTGTCTGAGTTAATTTATAAGCTGACAACTGTTGTCTGTAAGTTAATTTATTGACTCACAGCTGGTGTCTATGAGTTAATTTATTGACTCACAACTGTTGTCTGTGAGTTAATTTATTGACTCACAACTGGTGTCTATGAGTTAATTTATTGACTCGCAACTGTTGTCTGTAAGTTAATTTATTGACTCGCAACTGTTGTCTGTGAGTTAATTTATGAACTCTCAACTGTTGTCTGCAACCCTTTCAGCCCAATGCAACTTTAGTAGACTCTTCCATGTATTGATCTGGATAAGTTCATTATGGTTTACATTGGTAAAAGGGTTAACTCACAACTGTTGTTTATCAGTTAATTTATTAACTCGCAACTGTTTATCAGTTAATTGATTTACTCACAACTGTTGTTTATCAGTTAATTGATTAACTCACATCTTTGAAATCATACAACTGATTTCTGTAAAAGCTTTGAAAGCTTGCTACTTAGGTCTGGAAGTTATTCACAACAACAGAGGGAGCTAGGAGCTTTGGTTGGCGCAGTAACCTCCGCTGTATTGAGCCACGTCGTTGTGGGTGTAACCGGGGAGGAGGAAGGCTGTATAACGGTGTTCTTCTCATGAAGTTCCTAATGATTATATATATATTGTGTGATCCTAGCTGTCCGTCAGATCTAAGGTTCGTGGAATCCGGCAGTGTACCAGATCAGCGATTTGTCGGACTTGTTGGTCCTGTCAGATCAGCTGAATCGTCGGATCATCAATTCATGGGATTATTGGGTGCGACGGATCAGCCATTGTCCTTGTAGATATTGTACCAATACTAATATAAAAATGGATGGTTAATGATTATGTATCAGAAGGTATATCAATTCTGAATCAATGCTCATGATGTATTTATTATATATAGTGAGGCTGTGTAAGCGAGAGATCACTTTGTCTGGCACCACTAGGGGGCACTGTCTGTATTGCCATCACTAGAGGGCAGCACTTGTGGTGTTGCTGCTATCTGGCGATATGTGATTTACTCCATGCGAGTCTGAAAACTGTTGCTGTAAAACTTGTTTCCCCTCAGTTACAGTTTGTGAGTATATGGCGAGTACAACGTATATAACCCTCAGCTTTGGGTTCACAAGTATGATTGAGTCAAGAAAACTATAAATAGATGTTCAGTTGTATATTGCGTGACGTTAGAAGATCAGATTTTTATTGTTTTTATATGTGGGAGTGTGAATGATTTAAATGTGTATACGATGACAATGTACTGATTTTATATGAGATCATGCACTGAGTTTGACTAGGATGTTTCTAATGAATGAATTATTTTTCATTTTATTATATATGATAAATGTTGCAGTTGTTGAAAATGGTATATTATGATGATTATTATTATTATTGGTGTCCAAGGAAAGACAAGTATTAACAGCTACGTATGAATAAATTATTTATACATTTTTTCACCAGATTCCGACAGGGAGTTATGGTTGACAATATTTACTGTCATCATGTATCTATAGCATCAAGTTTATGTTCTGTTTTATTTGTACAATGTTAATTGTGTAAAAAAAAAAGTTTTTTAAGACGTGAGAACATTTCGTTACGCCAAATATGGCTGCTGCAATGCGTATATTTTGATACAAGGGGTATTGTAGACTATTAGATACAGGTTTGGTAGCGCTGAATGGTTATTTATCACTGCTAGTAAGATGTGTTGTTGTACATAGGAAATCATTAACTAGTTAGTTGGGACCTCCCGTCGTCATACGTCGTCATTGTTAGGTTGGGAAGCCCTCGTGTCATACCTCGTCATGGTTACATGGGAAGCCCCTGTGTCATATGTTGTCATGATTACTCACCTGAGGGCACCTCCCCCGGGGTGTCTGGGAGTTCCTCTCATCACATCGGTGTGGTTCATCATTCTGGGCTGTCGTTGTGTCGTGGCTTTGTCATCATGGTCGTCCTACGTCGTGGTACGTGGTTTGTGTGAAGCGTCGGTGATCTGTGTCGTTGTGGCGCTACCAGGCCGCTGGCCTGACATGGAGTGTTGTTGTTGTAACATAGAAATATATCCCAGGATTGCCTAGGTCTATATCCAGATGTGTTCTATTTTATGTATATAACAGGAAGTGATTGTAAAAAACAACATGGACAAGTCTGGGCCAACACCGTTCATACATGGGGTCATTTTAGTCATTCTTAACTGTTAGGGATCCCTGTCCCACTGTAGTCTAACCAGGAGAAAGAAATCCATTTTAGATTTTCATACACACAGTAAAACTCCGTAATTTAGTTTTGAATATGAATGAAGCATGACTTGGCCATTTAACTACCACTGACCAGGTAGGCTAATTGGTTTGTGTGACCGTTTTGTAATCTGAGGATCTGGGTTGGAATCCCAGCCTGGCCAAGTGGCAATTTGTACTCTCAGAACACTGCTGTGATTTATTTTGTTAGTAAAGTTCATTTTCATTCTCCCGTATTAAATGTTCTGTGAGGTATGGATTTCCAGAAATAGTTCATTAAAGCTGTTGTCATGCTGGTGAAAAAAGTTTCCATTTCATTGTCGTCCGTTGTCCAGGGATCCCAAACAGACATGTCAACCGTGATATATAGACATTAGTGTATTACAGAAACTGTACTTACGTGCTGCTACCAGGAGTCCCAAGCCTCCTAAAGTTGCTAAGCAAATATGCAAAATTAGGTGGAGTAGTGATAGTGTGCCATAGTGTGTTGTAGGCAACCCAAATGTGCCATTTTAAAACATAAACGCCATCAGCTGTTTGGTACCACTAGATATGTTCTGTAGTCAAGGTTGTGGCCTTGGTATCCGATGATAAAGGTCATGACCTTTGTGTCCTGATGTTAAATTAAAGGTTATAAATTTTACAACCTGAAGATAAAGGTCATGACATTGGTATACTGATGTAAAAGGTCATGACCTTTGCATCATGATGATAAAGGTCATGACCTTTGATATCCAGGAGAGGATATAGGTTAGGAGTTAGTCCCCAGATCACCACTTCCTATATGTTATATATGGAGTGGAGGTTTAAACTCAAATTGCTTGGTGGTTTTAGGGCCTGATTACAGTTACAGTTCAAAGGTTGATTACAGTTACAGTTCAAAGGTTGATAACAACAATTTGTAACTTAAAAAGATTCCAGGTAGTTATTTGTGCCCCTGAATCCCCTTCTGGTGTCAACCATTACCAGTCTAAGCTATAACTAAACATATTTTCCTATAGAAGAAAGGACGTTTCAAATGAGAAATATTTGACCCGAGCACTGTGTTGATCTCATCATTTCTGTGATACATAAGCCTGTGACGGCCTAGACTTTTCCATGTGAGAACACATCAGTCATATGTACATAAACATCAGTGGGAGTGCCCCTGTGGGGTGTGGATGGGGGGGATGTCATCAGTATTGTTCTCGTAGTAGTCATCATGTTTATACAGGTGTTAGATATGTCAGCCATACCAAACTCATAGCACATACAGGTCCACCATACTGTAGTTTTACTGGTCAGAAAATCAGATACATTTAATGTAGAAAAAAACCCGATAAAACTTCACATTTAATTTTATAGGAAGTCTCAGATATTCTGATTCCACTTACAGACTTGTTTTGACAAGGTACTAGAATTTAGTCTCTGTTCAAATCCAGCCAGTACCAGCAGACATCTTCAGACTAGTAACAGAGAGGGGCAAAGCTTTCTGTTAGCTGTGATAGAGACCTGTCCTTATACTTAAGCTAGTCCCTTTAGGCTAAAGTTTGTGTTTGATGTTGGAGGTGTTGATTGTTTCGTAAGATGATTATACCGATTTGATCAAACTCACCTTTACGTTTAATCAGTGTTTTTACCAATCCGTTTAGCTGAAATGATTTTCTTCGACAGAATTTTTTGAGGATGAATTTGGTGTGAGCAGATGATGGCCTAAGCATAGAGTCGTTAGTGTGAAGAGCTTGTGTAGTGGTGTTAGGGGGTTGTCGTCATCGTGTTTTATACTTTATACGAAAAAAATCAGCTCAACTTTCTATGGGGTTAGTAGTGTTTTATGATTAGAGATATATTGTATAATTACTGCGACAGTTCACAGCGCTTAATCTTCGGTCAGGCCGACTGTTTCTCAGGGCTACAGAGGCGGGGGATTTTTACCCTTCAGATTGTTCATAACGCTCCAGTCTTGTGCAGGTAATATGACAGACATTTTGAAAGAAAAAATATCCTGATAAGAATACAATATTTTGGTGTTTTGCCAGAGTTTTTACCTCATTTTATAGATTTCAAAAATACCAGCAAACTTTGCTGTATGTTACAAAACTCCCCCATTTATGACCATTCATATTATTCTATGGAATTATGTAAAAGGATTAAGCACATTTTGTATCTCTGTCATTTCAACTGCAGTGTAAACTTTGTGACTCCCCTTTAAATGATACCTGTATGAAAAGGATACCAGTGTCATTGAACAGTTGTTAAATACAACGTTGTTGACCCTCACTCTCAGATCATGTTACTCCTACAGGGCGAAATGCTACTACAAAATGTGTATCTAAACAATGTGAAATGTAAATAAATGTTATTGCTAGTCCAAACCAGACTGTTGTAGATGATCAGCGTAATTAATTGTTAATCTGAGTGTGTCATTATATCATTTATCATTATGTGTCGGAAACCTCGATCCAACTGTTTTGTAGGGTGTGTTAAGACGGAAATGTGTTGTTTTTTTTTCCAGCTGTAAGCAACAAGACTGAATTTTGTTTTTAACGTTTTAACAGTAAACGAATCTGCTCAGTATCATTCGGTATGTACACATTAGCCGACCCCGAGATTATATTATAAACCAGTTTTAGACTTTGTCCAAATTTCAGATGTTATAAGGCATAGACATATACATGTTTGTATAAATAGGTATGATAAAAATCAGCCTGAATTTCTTAAAATTACAGACATGCAAATTCACATTTTGATGTGGGAAATTAAATTAAAGATATGAAATATGAAATTTAACAGCATTCCAATTTGGACTTGAGTCTTAATTATTTTATGGTTTTGGAGTCTGGTCTGTAAAACCCTCAATATAGCCCCAAGTGTGAAGAGGTTAGCCCCGCAGTTGGAGGTGAAACACATGCCCTTGTTAGAATGTGTACATACAATGTAATTTATGCAGTATCGTCATGTAGATAACTCAGTATACAGTTAGTTAATGTACCGCACTGTCCCTCTCCCAGTCAAACTTGTGTGTCCCTTAAACCCAACAGCCTGGAATTGACCTTCACCTTGACTGAATCCTTTTTTACTCCTAGTTACGTCAAACAAACAACCCTAAGTTGATACCAAATCTCATAAAGATAGTTTGATAAATGTGACATTTTTTTGTTATATGAATTTAAATTAGATATTTTAGTATAAAGGTTGGGTGTTAAGACATACAAAAGATCGGTCCAAGTTATTGACCGAATGCTTAAAGACAAATATATGAACTGACCACGTATATGGACACACAGGTTTGACCACGAACGGCAGTGTGGATCTAACCATCAAACTCATAATTTATGACAATTATCCATAGGACCAGTCTGTGTCATATACAGAAATCATTTTAACCGGGAGGCCTGGTGCTTCAAAACATTTGTACATAGAGGAAGGAGCTGGGCTGAATTATCTCCCTTCCCACTTCCATTGCCTGACAGATAAGAGGTCTGATGAGAAGTAAATTGGAATTATAAAAATAATGAAAAATGGAAAGTTTATACTGACATTGCAGCATGTGTCGATTTCTACCAACAATTGCTGAAAAGTTAATGAAATTTGTATTGGAAAAAATGTCAATCTCTTGTCAAGTATCAGAGTAGTATTAGGAGCAGGGAGATAACTCTGTCACATCTGCTGTATAGATCCGGGGATGTTGTTTCCTCATCACTGATAATAGGCAGACCCTCCAGACTGCCAAGGAGGAGTGTTTGGACCCTCCTCACTCACAACAGGGACGGTTCATGATCAGTCCCTCACTGTGAAGGGAAGTATTCAGACCCTCCTCACTCACAACAGGGACGGTTCAGTCCCTCCTCACAAAGAAGGGAGATAATTTGGACCCTTGTGACAGGGACAGTCTAGTTCAATTATGTACACTCATTATCATATGTCCAGTTCATTTTGTGTTTGATATCAGAACGGTGTAGTCCGCTCTGCTCATTGTACCACAGCAAAAACAAAAATAAAAGCATGGGAAGTCGACGTTGGTGTTCGTTTTATCATTAAATACTTACTGAAAATAGCTGTGGTGGAAAGATATACACAACTTATATAAGATTTATTCATGTCAGATAATTGACATTTGGGGTAAGAAACACCGGTTACATTTCGATTCTCAAAAATGGATTTCCTACGCCAGATCATGGAAGAGGAAAAGTCTACAGTACAAGTATATCACGTCATACAATGTATTGCCTATTTACATAAGAGTGTTACTTAATAGTTTGTGCAAAGAACATTGCATACACTTGATTGAATAACGTTCTCAAGAGTTTTAATAATTGTGAAGTGTGATAAAGTCATTGTGTATAAATATTGAAAAAAGTCTTATAGAAACATAAAACAATACTGAAATAGTTGATATTACATAAATGGAATGTTAATAAGACAATTTTGGCACCAAGTATACCCAAAAGGCATTAATCACAATATACAGTGAAATTAGACAGAAAAAAATCCATTGTTTTAATGAAAATTCCAAGGCTTTAGAAGGGTTCCTGAAGTAAAGAATCCACGATGGTATAAATAAAAACAATTTAAACCGAGTGAGATTACATGGTCAGTAAAGATAATTAATAATATTTTTGATACGTAGAAACAGAAGTTGAAGTTGACATATCGCGAATCGGTAAAATAAAAAAAATAGGAAAATTTGTGCATATATAAAAGAAAGAAAACTCTAAACACAAAGAACTGATCCAGAAAGGCGTTGACAACACAAGGGATCTAAACACAAAGAACTGATCCAGAAAGACGTTGACAACACAAGGACTCTAAACACAAAGAACTGATCCAGAAAAACGTAGACAACACAAGGACTCTAAACACAAAGAACTGATCCAGAAAGGCGTTGACAACACAAGGACTCTAAACACAAAGAACCGATCCAGAAAAACGTAGACAAAACAAGGGATCTAAACACAAAGAACTGATCCAGAAAAACGTAGACTGAATGAATGCGACCAAATATGATCGATATCCATGGCATAGTTCTACAGAAGAAGTAATATAGCAATATAGCCAAATTGCCCCCTTTTGGCCTCGCCCCTCAGCGCCACCATTTGTACAATTTTGAATCTCCACCACCTAGGGATGCTTCCAGTCAAATATGGTTGATATCCATCTCTTAGTTCAAGAAAAGTCGCTTAAAGCAGTCTAGCCAAATAACCCTTTTTGGCCCGCCCCTCAGCCCCCTGGGGGGTCAGCCACACCATTTGTACAATTTTGAATCCCTGCCTCCCATGAATACTTTTGATCAAATATGATTGATATCCAGTACAGAGTTCTACAGAAGAAGTTGTTTGTAGCAATATAGCCAAATTGCCCCCTTTAGGCCCCGCCCCTCAGCCCCCTGGGGGGTCAGGGTAACACAAATTATACCAGCAAACCTTCCTCTCCTAACAAGTATTTTTGTCAAATATGAACATCTTCCGTTCAAAACAATGGTAGATATGGCCTATTTTTTATTTTCTATATAAACTATACTAAACTTCACCCCCTCCCCAGGAACAAACGTGGCGNGAATTTTTATTAACCACCCAAAGGCCGTTACAACTTTTTCCCTTTTTGGCCCCTAACTCAGACCCCTAGGAGGCCACACCCCACACCCTTATTTCATAAATATATTGAGCCCCTGGTCCCAAGAACGCTTCATATCAAATTTAGTTAAAATTTAATCAGTCGTTCAGGAGATAAAGGCTTTTAAAGGGAAAAGTTGACGCCGGACGACGGACGCTGCTGTACGGCATAACCTCACTTGCCCTTCGGGCAGGTGAGCTAACAAAGAACGATCCAAAAAGACTTTGACAATTATAAACAAAAAACAGAAACAACACAAGTAAAATATTAACAATTATAGAAATAATACCAAAAGACCTTCACAACGCAAGATTATTAGAAACAACACAAGTAAAACATTAACGAGTATAGAAATAATACCAAAAGTCCTTCACAACGCAAGATTATTAGAAAACATCACAAAAAGTCCTTAACAACGCAAGACTAATAGCAACAATCTAAAAAGACCCTGACAACAATACAATTTTATCAGTATTGAGATAACACAAATGCAAAACATTGAAATCATTTACTAGCGCAAGAAACAAAACTGTTGGCAATATAGAAACAACGCAACATAGACAATATTGATAAAAAGAAACAATACAACATAGACAATATAGAAACAATACAACATAGACAATATTGTTAAAAAGGAAGCAACGCAACATAGATAATATAGAAACAATACAACATAGACAATATTGATAAAAAGGAAGCAACGCAACATAGACAATATTGATAAAAAGGAAGCAACGCCACATAGATAATATAGAAACAATACAACATAGACAATATTGATAAAAAGTAAGCAACGCAACATAGACAATATTGATAAAAAGGAAATAACACCTCATAGAAAATATTGATAACAAGAGGCCCATGGGCCTTAACAGTCACCTGCGTCCTACAGTATTTATTTTTGTTGTTGAAATATGTACCATTTTGAGTAAAAAATAGTTAAGTATAATGTTAACTTAACTTTGTCAGGACCATGAGCTGATCATTCCTAGACCGATTTTCAGTGAGATCGGCCTATTAGAACTTGTTTTTAAGTTAGAAATAGGAATTTACAAAATAGCGGCCATGGCAGCCAAATTGTATTTCTGATTGACCCGAAAAATAACAACACTTTGTCAGGACCATAATTCGAGCATTCCTACCAACTTTCAGTTTAATCGCCCCAGCAGAACTTTACTTTAAGTTTGAAATAGGTATTTTCAAAATGGCGGCCGTGGCGGCCATATTGGATTTCTGATCAACCCGATAAATAACAACACTTTGTCTGGACCATGAGTCGATCATTCCTACAAAGTTTCAGTTCAATCAACCTAGCAGAACTTGACTTTAAGTTTGAAATAGTTTTTCAAATTGGCGGCCGTGGCGGCCATTTTGGATTTCTGATCGACCCGAAAAATAACAACACTTTGTTAGGACCATGAGGCAATCATTCCTACCAACTTTCTGTTCAATCGGCCCAGCAGAACTTGACTTTAAATTTTGAAATAGTTTTTCAAATTGGCGGCCGTGGCGGCCATTTTGGATTTCTGATCGACCCGAAAAATAACAACACTTTGTTAGGACCATGAGGCAATCATTCCTACCAACTTTCAGTTCAATCGGCCCAGCAGAACTTGACTTTAAGTTTGAAATGTAAAATGTTAACGGACGACGGACGACGGACGACGACGGACGAAAACGGATAGCTAAAGCTCAGGTGACCTAAAAAAGGAAACAACGCATCAAAGACAATATTGATCAAAAGGAATCAACATTACATAGATAATATTGACAATATAGAAACAACACAACATAGATAATATAGATAAAAAGGAATCAACACATCATAGAAAATATAGATAAAAAGAAATCAACACAACATAGACAACATTGACAATATAAAAACAACGCAACATAGACAATATTGGCAATATAGAAACAACACAACATAGACAATATTGATAAAAAGGAATCAACACAACATAGCTAATATAGATAAAAAGAAATCAACACAACATAGATAATATTGACAATATAAAAAAAATACAACATAGACAATATTGACAATATAAAAACAACACAACATAGATAATATAGATAAAAAATAATCAACACAAGATAGATAATATTGACAATATAAAAACAACGCAACATAGACAATATTGACAATATAAAAACATCACAACATAGATAATATTGATAAAAAGGAATCAACACAACATAGCTAATATAGATAAAAAGAAATCAACACAACATAGATAATATTGACAATATAAAAACAACACAACATAGATAATATAGATAAAAAATAATCAACACAAGATAGATAATATTGACAATATAAAAACAACGCAACATAGACAATATTGACAATATAAAAACAACACAACACAGATAATATAGATAAAAGAAATCAACACAACATAGATAATATAGATAAAAAGGAATCCACACAACATAGATAATATTGACAATATAAAAACAACGCAACATAAATAATATTGACAATATAAAAACAACACAACATAGACAATATTGACAATATAAAAACAACGCAACATAGACAATATTGTTAAAAAAGGAAACAACACAACATAGACAATATTGATATATAGAAACAACACAACATACACAATATTGATCAAATGGAAACAACACAACATAGACAATATTGATCAAATGGAAACAAAACAACATAAATAATATAGATAAAAAGGAATCAACACAACATAGATAATATTGACAATATTGAAACAACACAACATAGATAATATAGATAAAAAGGAAACAACACAACATAGATAATAAAGATAAAAAGGAAACAACACAACATAGAAAATATTGATCAAATGGAAACAAAACAACATAAATAATATTGATAAAAAGGAATCCACACAACATAAATAATATTGACAATATTGAAACAACACAACATAGATAATATAGATAAAAAGGAAACAACACAACATAGATAATATTGACAATATTGAAACAACACAACATAGACAATATTGATAAAAAGGAAACAACACAACATATACAATATTGATAAAAAGGAAACAACACAACATAGACAATATTGTTAAAAAAGGAATCATCACAACATAGATAATATAGAAACAACACAACATATACAATATAGATAAAAAGGAAACAACATAACATATACAATATAGATAAAAAGAAATCAACACAACATAGACGATATTGTTAAAAAAGGAAACATCACAACATAGATAATATAGAAACAACACAACATAAACAATATTAAAGTATAGAAGCAACACAACATAGACAATATTGATAAAAAGGAATCAACACACCATAGATAATATTGACAATATGAAAACAACGCAACATACACAATATTGACAATATAAAAACAACACAACATAGATAATAAAGATAAAAAGGAAACAACACAA